TTGCGAAAGAAGTGGCGCCGGATGAAGCAGGCAAGTGCAGGCAGCCCAGCAAGCCTGCGCCAGACCGCTCCTTTCCCTGTAAACCTGCGGAGTTCAGCGGCGGTTACAGTAGCGCGCACAAACATAACAGCGGCCCTTGTGCTTTGTCCCTGCAGCTACAGCCGCTTCTGGAAAGCTTCAGGGTGCCTCGTTTAGATTGGCCTTGGCTTTCCATGTGTTTTCTTGCCGAGCAGAAGGGCAGAGCGATCCCAGAATGTTACGTTACAGCCTCAGGATGTCTCTTCACCAGAAACAAAAATACAGCTCTGTGCTGAAAGCAAGAGGCAGCACTCCAAGGGCTCTTTCAGACAGCAAGAATAAAGACACTGGCTGGTATTCGTTGCCAGCACGACGGCAGCCTGACAACCGCACAGAGGCAGCTTAGCTAAGAACTGGGAGCGCAGCCTAACGCACACAGCTGCTGACAATGCCCTTCATTACCTTTCTGTAGCTCTGCTCCTGTTCTGTAGTCCTAAATTGCATCTTTCACTTTGACAGTGCAGAAATAGACTTGCTGCCTCAGAGCAGGATGCACGAGACAGATGGGTGCCGACAGGATGCTGCCAGCGGAGCAATAGCACCCCGCTGTCTCGGCCCTTTGCCGTGGATTACGTACGCTGCCCCAGTCGATGCCGAAGGACCATCCTAATATGCCTTTCTAGCACTCCAGCAGATCACTTTCTGCAGCATTTGGGGCTTCACCAACACACAAGCCAGACAAAATACCCCTTCTGTATATCTGGCATATATTCTCCTAATTCTCCTAGTTGCTGCATCTAAGAGTGAGTTTTGCCTTGTTTATGGCATCATCGCATTGCTGCCTGCTACTCAGTGTCTAATATCATGCAGCTCCCACATCCTGTCTTGCAGCACTGCTGTAGCCAGTTACGCCCCAAGGTTTATATTTGTACATTTGATTTTGATTTCCCAGTTACAGTACTTTGCACTTGCTGATATTGTGGACCGTTACGTTACGATAGCTTACTAAGGATAGTTTTCCAAACTTGCTTCTGAAACTGTCCCAGGAGATGATAAGAGAAGCTTCACTGAAGTGACAAATTTTGCCTATATTGCCTTAACCTCTGCGTATGCTTAGAGGGAGCATCGACAGGTGGCAGAGAGACCTGTGGGATTCCTGTTGTGGTAGGTAGGCTAAAAAGGCTTTGGAAGTCTGTACAGAACTTGTGAGAACTGGGGAGAATTTTAACTGGGCCGTTTGAATCCAGTCACTACAATTTGCTTAACGAGATGTCTAAAATTCTACATTTAGAAAATCTATATATTCTGTATATAACCAGATATACAAAAGTAAGCCTCTTCTACACAAGGTGAGTTGTCGGCATGGTTAATTCAGACGCCGGGCGTACTTGCTAAGCGCTACAGGAATGTGCACTCTGATCAGGAGACAAGCGGGCAGCGAGGGAAGGCACGCTTATGCTAGTTTTATCTCAGCCAGTTCGGTTTATCGCAGCAGCTAGATCTGACCGTGCAGCCTTTAGCTTATGTAGCTGCCCCAGAGAGTCTGCAGGATCCTTGATGGGTTTGTGCAGACCACCAAAGGCAGCATGCCGTGTTTACTGCTGCTATCAAAGCTAGTGTGACCACTTAGTTGGGAACAGGCAGGCATAATTCCCGTGTTCACCCCTCCCACGGCATCCCCAGTTGCTTCAGCTGCTGTACCACTGACAGCCAGTCACTGCCACCAGGCAGACTGACATCAGTGTAACACTAACAGGGATTTGGAACGGGTGATCCTGCAGATCCGTCCACTGGTGATGACTACACAAACCTAGCCAGGACGACTGAATCAGATGTTAGCTACACCTTGCCTTGCAGTCCTGCTGTTCTAATATTTTCTACAGTTACCTATTTTTTGTAATGACTTTACCAGAGATGGTGAAAGTTTGGCTGAATAGAGCATGTCGATCGCAATTGTTCCAACCCCATGAGATTTCACAAACTGCGCATTTTCCCAGTGAGGACAGCAAAATCTCTTTTACTGCCTTTCCGAGGGCTGGGCCTCAAATTATTCTTGTGATCCAAACAAGCCCCTTTAGCATCTGTCCCGATCTCACCCTCCATTTTTTCTTCCCATGGCCAAGAGACAAGAAAAAAGATTCGGCTGATCCTAGAGTGAATGTGCTACAGCAGAAATAGAGGGTCAACTGTATTTTGCTTTTCCTGCTGGTTCATTTTGTTAGACATGAAGGTAGGTTTGAAGGTGAGTTACGACCTTGCAGCCTTACGTGACACTGGGCAGAAGAGCTAAGGCCATACCATCATATCATCCTGACTTGTTGACCGACTCATTTCGTATCATATTGCAAACAACTGTGAAGCTGTAAATCTCCCACCCCGATCTGGACTTTGAGACTCATTCTCCAGTGACCCTCTGCATGTAGGTTTGTCCCATTACACGTACCTTGGTGCTGTGCCTCGTGCGCCACGATTAGGAGTTATTCTGAAGTCAGGGTGGCAGGGCCATAACAGCTGCTGAGACACTTGCAGTGAGAATGTTACGCTGCAAAACCTTTATTGGAAGTGAAGAGGTTCATAACAGTAGATGGAGACAGGTGCAGCTGTGATGCAGCTGTGGCAGTGACGGGGGCAGGGCATGATACGGCCCTTGCCTGGTGCGTGACATGACATATGCTGTGCTGAAGGTTGTTGTGGTTGAGGCCGCGCTCCCCTGACACCCTGCCTCTTGCTAGGACCTCTTGCTTGATAGCCCTCACCAGACAGGTGGGAAGACTTACCTACCCTGCCCTGAGCGATTTGGAGAACTTGCTGCGATTTTCTGACTGTGCTCAGCACAGACGGATGTCTGTGTGTGCCGAGGGCTATCGGCATGATGGCTGACTCTGTTCTTAAAGCATTTTTTGCCTCTGCCCTGAACGCAGTGTTCCCCATCTGCAAGTGACAAGTAACTGAAGGCTTTGTTTTGGCCTGCCTGGGGCGACTGATCAGCAACTTACAGTGATACACCATCTCTTGCTGCCATGTATGTGACGGGCTTGAAATTTGGTGTGCCTTAGGGAGACGGTGGGTGATGCAAGTTGCTCAACTTTGGGATTCACAGGGCAGTGTCAACAGGGCAGTTATGCCCCCCCGACACTGCATCAGATTATGAAATGCACAGGCTCTTAGGACCCAGGGGTCATAGCGTTATCTCACCTCTACCACAGCTTTATCTGTTTTCATTGAGCACTTTTGCCCCTTTGCGGAAAAAATAGTGAAAAGGGTATTGGAAAAAGTATTTTAGCAAATAGGATGTGCCAAATACGTATGTGTTGGAGCTACTGAAACATGCAAGGGCAAGAGAAAGGAGTGAGAGTTTCTGTAGTCACAGCACTTGCACTGCAAGTGACAGGCACTGGTCTGTGAAGCACCACACGCTGTGCCACGCACAGTACAGGCAAATCTTTGTAACAGAAACTTGTCAGAACGCTCTTTTGACATGTTGATTCTGTGAACTCTGAGATAAACATACTTATTTTACGCTTGGGGAAATGAGCACACAAAAGGCCCTGGTTTGTGAAATATATTTCAGGTGCTTCTAAGGGTCTACAACTGAGAAGAGATGTTATTACTCTTTTGGCAGAAGGTTATTATAGCAGAGTCCTGGCACTGATCAGGAAAATAGCAGTGATTAAGTGGAGAGAAGATAAATAGCAATTAGAAAGACGATCACAGTTTTTGAATGTGAACCACAGTTCAAGATCAAGGCATTCCTCATGCATAATCTCCCACCATGAACTGCCTATGGCAGTGTTACAGTCTTACATCCCTGTGGTGCACAGTGACACCGTATGGGTTCAGAGTGGTGAGAAGAACGTGGGGTTCAGTGATTTTCACTGACAGGTTATGTTAGCTGTGAAAGTACAAGGATGGTGGAAAAACCAGCAGCAGAAAAAAGGTGTACAGAAAACGGTTCTGAAATAACAGCTGTCAGTGGTTCTCTAGCAATTTGTTTGAAAATGTTGCACGTTTTCACTGATGAGTAGGTAATTGAATAGTGAATGAAAGCAGGTGACTCCAGACTGGAAGTAGCACCCAAATAGGCTAAGATGTATTTAGAACTTAAAGTGATCTTAACAAACTGAAGAAATGTCTTCATAAGAATAGGAAGCAATACATACAGATGCAAAGCATTGCTCTTGGGTAGGAATAGGGAGCTATACAAATAGGGAGAGAGAACAGGTAGCTAACAGTCAAGTGGATTATAAACTGAACACCACAGAATGCTTGAGGCTGGAAAGGACCTCTGGAGATCATCTCATCCAAGCCTCCTGCTCAAGCAAGGTCACCTGGAGCAGGTTGTCCAGAATTGCGTCCAGATGACTCTTGAGTATCTCCAAGGATGGAGACTCCACAACCTCTCTGGGAAACCTGTTCCAGCGTTCGGGCACCCTCACAGTAAAGAAGTTTTTCCTTATGTTCCGATAGAGCTTCCTGTGCTTCAGTGTGTGCCCGTTGCCTCTTGTCCTGTCACTGGGCACCACTGACAAGAGTCTGGCCCCATCCTCTTGACACCCCCCCTTCAGATACTTATATGCATAAGCTCTCCCCTCAGTCTTCTCTTCTCTAGACTGAAGAGTCCCTGCTCTCTCAGCCTTTCCTCACATGAGAGACGCTGCAGTCCCTTGACACGTTATCATACTGCTGCAGAAAAACAAATTCAGTACTGGGATGTAAGACTAGGACTGTCCTATGTAAGGCAGGAATAGTGCTTTTGCTATACTTGGCACAGGCAAGATCTCTACTGAAATAACAGGTCCAGTCTAGCAACTGCACTTTAAGCTTCTACAGGAACAGGGATGGTAGAAGGTCTAGAAAACATAATGACTGAGGAAAGATAAAAGGAATGGATTTTTTTAGCTCCCATATATACTAATATAAAACTGAACATAAAGATTAATAAAAAAAAAGCAGTTTTTAATGTATCTAAAACATTTCTTCCAACAGTAAAGGAATAAAACATTCTTTACATCCAATGGATATAGGGTAGGAAATAACCATCTTACATTGCAACAAAGGCCACTGAGGTTTAGACGTTAGGGAAGAACATAAACAAGATGACAAAGTAGATACTGACATAAATTGCCATAGGGAATTGTGGACTCTACACCCACATCCATGTGGTATGGCACGGCTGCAGCTGAACGTGCCTTAGGACAGGATAAACCAGGTTACAGGCAAGGTTCTTTCCTGTTCCATTTCCTATGGCAAGGAAATGCTGGAAGAGGCAAATACATGCACAAGAATATGGCATGTTGGAGGGGAGGAATATGAGAGAAAGAAAACTACAAGGGTAAGATGATGTATTCTTATAGCACTTCCATGTATTCACAATTCTTAGAATGAACGCATTTTTGTAATTCCCTGATTGAACTATCACAATAATCCAGAAAACAGAGATGCTAGTTCCTTCTCATTCAAGCCGCATCCTGCCGCACTAGGCAGCATGAGGTCTGGCAAGTTTGTGCAAACAGCCCCTGGATCAATGTAGTTACTGGCACCTCTACGTTATTTCCCAGATTCCACAAATTAGCGGCATGAGTGGACACGTGACATATTCTATGTGCGTTCTGCTAAAATCTCTGGAAAGGCACACTACAGGTAGAACGAGAATCCACTTATATCTAAAATAAAAACTTGTTGCTCTACTGGTACCACCAGTCATATCTAACACCCAAGGATGCAGATGTATCCAAACTGACTTTGATGTGCTGCCCCAGAAGCAACAGACACGCTTGCACAGAAGTCTGTCCAAGCCAAGCCATGCAAAGAATCAGAATTAATTTTTCAGAATTACATATATGAAGTTACTCCCTGATTTGCATACTGTACATTGTCCATGTATTTGTTTTATCCAGGTTATTTCCTTTGATATCCCGACTAATTACAAATTTTTCAGTTTCTTTTTGTACAGTGCTGTTTACGTTTGTAATGATGAAAGGCAACAAAGTCATGCTAAGCACAGCGTAATTACAAAAGGAACCAAAACTTTTCCTCACAGGTAGGCCAGATTTCTCTGGTTTTCTCGCCTGCTACTAATTCTGCTGGAACACGTGACATTATATGGGCAGATTTTTCCCTATTTGAAGAAATCTAAGATCAATAATCAATCCTTTTCTAAAAAAGAGACGTAGTTTGACCATTGCTTGCAGGAATGATTGAGCAAGTTTTCCTAGCCTATGGGATTCAGCAGTCAGACTAGATAGTCAGAGTGATCCCCTTCAACTTTAAAACCAGTAAAATTACATTGTGGTCCCAGATACTGAGCCACAGGCAAGTAAAGTATTGCAGGAAACGTTAGCCTCTTGCTGTACCTACAGACTCCTAAAATAACTGCTTTTGCTCTTTAAGACTGTTCACGATGCTCTCTGAGGTACCATGTAGAATTTCGGCGGCTATCAGTTCAGTTCCAACCTAGAGCCGTGGCACAGTGTTTCCTGGCTTGCAGTATCCTAACCCTGTTTGACTAGGGAATACTATATTCAGGCCTGCTTCTACAAGGAAAGATGAGAAAGGAAATTGCCTTGACAAACAGCTGTAAAATTCAGTTTATTTCAGCAGGTAGGACACTTGAAAATTACTTAGCTTCACATAACACTATTGCTAATACAGTGATTAAAAGCAGGCAACTTCAACTGCATATCTGTATGTGAAAAGACATACAAAAGTAAGAGTCAAAAACTGACACAAACGCATGGTTGCCATGTAACAAGGACAGCTCAGAGGTGATTGCCAGACACGTCTACTCACAAAACAACAATTCAGGCCCCTGGGAGACTTCACTAGACAAATTATTCCATATTTTAAATGTTCACTTAGTGAGGTACTTCTCTAATGGCAAGCTGCATAAACACAGCTCCAAATCCTAGGATTGAACTTCACTCCTCTCTCCGTGCTCCTTGGGTTAGAGAGCCCTCTTAGTTTCTGGGAACATGGAATAATCATTTACGCTTCCTCTGTTCCTCATACATAAAACACCTCCTGGCAGAGATGAGTTTCACTGCAATGAGGTTTGCAGATTGTACACAAGGAGAATTAGGGGTGTGAGAGGCCACGTGACAAGCTAGTCATGTGGCTTACTCCAAGAACAGAAGGCACATAGATACCATAGGCAGAGTAAAAGAACCTGAGGAGAAAAGTCCATGATCTGGATCATATCCTGAACGTATTACTACACTTACAGAATTTTAAGTACAGGCCCCATCTATCTGAATCCCTTCAGAAGCAGAGACTAGACAGTATTAGAATCAGCAAAAGACAGCCAGCCAGATCACCTCTGTAACTTCTTTCCTCAGTCAGTGCCACCTTGAATGGGAAAAAGAAGTCAAATGGCAGTTTCCAGTATGTCTTGGGCTGGCCACGTGGAGGTTCTGGCCATTCTGTCATGTCCGTGAAGGTAACAACAGTTGTCAAAGGCACCATGCTCGTGCTTAGGAACTGTAACAAAAAGGAAAGCACAGAGAGTTCAGCATACCTGACATAAGACACGTCTTCTAGCTTAGTTCTCTAACGGCCACTCAAAATAGCTGGTGTGCTCCATCAGCAGTTGCTTGTATCCTCTTCTGCATATTGTTTCCATCAATCATGGATGGTACAGAGAAACATCTGAGCGGGGAAAAAGGAAGCCCACTACCTTCATGGTAGTGCCCTTCCCCATTTTTAAGATGGAAACCTGTGAGAGCTTTTACCAAAAGGCAACACAAAAGATTAAGGACTGTTTTGACCCTGTAGTGAGCATGGGAGCTGTGGACTCCATACTGCCAGATGAAATGCAAATGGTGAGAACACCTTGAGGAATGCATTTGTTATAAGATAGGTAAACATCTCTCCCCTTCATATATTTGCCAGTGGAGACCCACTGTGGATGACTGGCAGGCAAGATGTCCTTAGGATAGTGGGAGTTAACCTTTCCAGCTACAACTTTTACTGCAGTAGCTCCTCCTTCCCAAAATTGATACTCAGCAGGTAAGTCCAGGGCACAGGGCTCAGGAAAGATCAGTGGTTACTCGGCATTATGTCTTCCACACCTCCAAAATGGAAATAGTCATTCAAGCTCTGCTAGAGTAAGCCTTCTAGTCAGGGGAATGGCATATCAGCTAGTTGATTACACAAACAGAAGCAATGCAAGCATTATTTTTTATAACATTTGAGACGAGATCACTTGGCCCTTTGAACATGCAATTGCTGCCAGAAACAGGGCTGCCAGAATGGTTTGATCAATAAAGCCGGGATCCAATGCATCTATAAATTTCTCTTTCACAGTTCAGAATATTATTTCAGAAAGGAGACAAAGATCGGTAGATCAGTCGCTAAAGACGGAGCAGGGGACTGGAATTCTACAGTAGTCTACAGACGACTGTAAGGCACAGATAACGCGTGCGCTCCTTGAATTCTGTGGAGTTTCATGGCTAGCTTGGGCTGATCTAAAATCATGCTACTGCTGAAAGAGCAGCTCACTCCCACTCCTTCTCTGCTTTGCACTGATAACCTCATGAGAGGGAGTCTACTTGCAGGATGCCTCCTTTTGCACCTCCACTGCCTTAAACCCATCTACATCATGACCTCATTCACTTTCCTGAGAACATGACAGCAATCTGAGTGCTGGAACAGGTTTCCCAGAGAGGCTGTGGAGTCTCCATCCTTGGAAATATTCAGAAGCTGTCTGGACACAATCCTGGGCAACGTGCTCTAGAGGACCCTGCTTGAGGTTGGACTAGATGATCTCCAGAGGTCCCTTCCAACGTCAGATTCTGTCAGATTCTGTCAGATTGACTGCCTTGGGGCAAAGTGGTGCAGGAAGCATTTGGAAAAGCTCACAGACAGAATTCACAAGGCTCACGAGAAAAACACTGAGGTTCCTGATGGATATAAGTTCTCTAATCAATGAGTAAACACATAGTAGACAGAGTTGCCTTTGTCAGCAAGAAGCCTCAAAACGATTCTAGCTTTGTCTCTTGACCTTCAAACTCAGCAATCCCTTCTTCCACAGCTGGGAGAAGGCAGCCGCAAGCACCTTCCAGCGTCTTCCTGTGTAGCTCTACGTAATTTAGGACTGTCTTGTATTTTCACAAAGTCCAAATACAACTGTGATCAGATGTTGTGAATAGGTGTAAAAACAAACAAACCAAAAACCAGGATCTCCTTCCTGGGTTCTGTGTATTCTAGTTAGTCACTAAGGCAACTCTCCAGTGATACGGCGTGGTACTGGCAAGTTTTTCCTCTCTAAAGACTGGAGAGTTCTGTGATACAGAATCTGTAGGCAAAAATTAGGAAGTGACCTCATTTAAAAGTAAAACAATATAGAAGCAAGCATTGGTGACCTCACTGGTTTGTTTACAAATGGCTGCAAATGCACCTGCTGAGTCTAGTACTCACTGGTACCTTTCTTCATAAAAGTATCCTGAAACCGAGGTTATGTAAGTATTCGATTATGGCCCTAGGTTAGGGATCATAGAAGCCTTTTCCCCTGTACTTCTGAGGAAGTCGTTCTTCAGTATCTAGATGAAGAAAATAAGCCCATCTTGTAAACCTTTTCTCTTCTTTTTTCTTGGGAAGCAATTTTTAACATGGATCAGTTTTGAGATACGGGTCACAGAGTAACTGCACAAATGGTTGCATCAGCATAAGCAAGGGGAAAGCAAACTGCCCCACAACGTTAGAAACAATAGGCCAGAACTTAATCTGCCTTCGCTACCAAAGGTTTTGTGTGAGTTTTCTTGCACTTTTGTAGCCAAGGTCCCTGTCATGTGTATCAGGAGATCCTAGATGGCTCTGAAATCAGTCACAGCTAGAAGCAGGTTCTCATCCATTGCTAGAGATGCTTATGACAGATTTATGTTCCAGCTCCCTGACTTTGGTGTCTGCAGTTCAGACAGCACCTATAGGAGTGAATTTTCTTTTCCTGCCTCGTGTCTGTTTGAACGTGCATCTGGCCACTGCTTCGGCCTCCTCTCACTTTCACACATCAGCATTTGACACTGGCACCACTGTTGGCTTACAGTGCCAAAAATCCTGTTCCCAAGATTGATATAAAGGCAATTTTTAAGACCGTTAGTGCCAGCCAAAATGTCTTTACTGACAATTTGTGGATTGCCACTAATGAAGTCAGTACTGATTTTAATGGTGTTTTCTTTTTCTTGCTGCCATAAACTTGCTTTCTTATCATTTGCTTTGCAACATACTTTCCAGCCCTAAAGTAATTAGCATCAGTTGCTCAAGCAGATGAAATCTGGGTCTCATAGTTCTTGACTGGCTAATCCTTACCGAGGGATAGGCACTCTGTGCTCTTATTAGGAATGCAGATCTCCCCTCAGAGAGAAGCTATGTCGATGGAGCCATATAACAGCTCATATTTAGAAGCTATCCCGGGGGTAAGTTTGCTTCTGGGCAACATGGCTTACAAGGGGAACGTTCGCCTACTATGTTCTTTTCACACATGTTGCAATAAGGGAGGAAGAAGAGGTACCATGAGACATCCAACCAAGGAATATAAAATCTTTTTCGGACTGAGTCTGAAGTTCAAAGAGTAGCAGCAGATCAGACATGTCATATCTCACTGTCATGAGAGCACCATGGAAAGGTGTCAGCAGCTCCCTGTTAAAGCCCTTGCACAGAAGTAAGCTTGAAATATTTGTGCAGCCCAACAGATTTACCATCTCAGAAATCCATCCTCGCACCAAAAACTGCGGATCCACTGACACACACTTGAAGAACAGCATTCATTCTCCTTCTTCACAGTCAGCTTAGCACCACCTTCCTGCTGACATCCTGTAATCTGCTCTTAGAAACCTGCTTTCTGGCTCACAATCTTTCCCCCTAGTTCTAGGGCTCTACTGCCTTTCAGCATTAAGCTCTTCCCCAGCTACCCATTGGTGATTTCAGAACCACTAAAGGAACAGAAATATCTTCTTGCACAGATTATCAGCAGGCTATGGAGCCTGTGAAATACAAGTCAAATCGAATGCTGTATCAAGGCTCTAAGAGACAACAAGATAAACATGCAGTTATTGAACTTTTTTAACTACGACCCTTATGGAGCATAATTAGGTGCTTCAAGTTTGAGTCCTTAAGTGGCAGGAGGCGTTCTGGGGCTGGAATGAAGGTACCTTTTCCAGTTGTCCAGCTCACTGAGGACAGTACTAGTAAGACCATAAAACTACCTTCCTCTATGGAGCCGTTAAATACAAACCCTTGCCATTGCAGCCAAACCACTGGTAAAATTCAGTAAGCCTCAGCTCAGTAACATCAAGACCATTTGATCCTTTGCTTCTTAAATAACTTGTGAATCCCATTTAACGACCTCTGTGCATGAGAGACGGGTTTGTAATTCCATACCTTTAGCGGCTGACACTGATAAAAGTACCGTGCACCCAGCATTTGAGCTTGTGGGTTGGACAGGAGGCCCTCCTTACTCCACAATATCTGGATCTCCAGGGTCACAGGAACCATGCAACAAGCAGTACAATTCACAGCCTGAAAATAAAATGGACCCCAGACATTTTAATGTAATGGTTTAAAGGTGACAAAAGACCACTAAGGTCATAAAATGTAATGTTTCGCGTAGCACGGATCACAGAACCTCAACCAGTCACTTCAGTACCAGCCCCATAACTTCTGGTCAGTTCTTTGTTTATTTTTAGAGCTATGTCTGCCTTATTGACATCTTATTTCTGAACAGAATTTGTCTTAGATCTACCTCTTAGATTTTGTGTTTTGTCAGTCCTTCTCCCGATAGATCAAAACAGAAATCTCCTCCCACACAAGCACTTGAATTGCAAGCTCTTAACTTTAGTTGGGCAATATATAAATAACCATAAAACCCAGAAAATCACAAAGGATGATTCATTCAGGCAAGTCAACGGTTAAACAAATTCAAGTAGTAACATAATAATATAAGCATCAAAATAATGACAAGGGGAAAGGCAGCATTAGTTCTAGAAGACTGTCAGAGACTTGGTAGTACAACACTGAATTCCGTATTAAACTCTTTTTGCCCATTTAAATGGCTGCAACATGATTGAAGAGATATTAAATTTGTCAGTTCCTTGTTTATTTAGTAAAAGGTGACTATCCTAATAATGTGAACCACAATAAGGAAGACTGTTTATGGGTATTAAGACTAATGAAAGTCAGTGGGGATCATCACACAAAGACAGTATGCCCAGAGGAAGCAGCTGTTTCTTTTTCCTTGACCACTCTCTCTAAAGTAATAGAGATAGAAAAAGGGAAAAATATTCTCAGCTGCTTTCTTTGCATTCATATTACCTGTACACTGCAGTTCTGAATCAGAATGGTGGTCCACTCTTCTGCCCGAGCTGAATGAGCACTGCCGATTATAGCAAGGTCCTCTGCTCTGCTCATCCCCTGGAGTGCCTTATATAACTTCTGCTGGATGTGACTACAGTCACTTTCTTCCAATAGTTGGGATAGGCTGGAAACGAGAAAGCACCTGCTTTGACAAAGTGGCAAAGAGAAAGGAGATCAATCTCAAGAGAAAACATCCTTCCTCAGTAATGAAGGTTTTGCAGCATTTTCTGCTCTTGTAATGAGTCAACAGAATAATTATGGAAGTATCAGTACTGAATGGACAAAGTTCCAAGCCTCTCTGAAATGAGAAGGGAGAAGAAGAATGTGGCAGGATAACAAACGATGAGGAAAACTAACAGCTCTTTAACCATCTTACCACCTTGGGGGAGGGATAACTGCCCCGTCACCAACAAAAAAATGATCCAAATTATCAAAAACAAAAAAAAAATCACTTTTCAACGTTCCATTATAATTCACTCCTGAAATACAAACTCTAATCTTGCTCTGAAACAAAGTTTCCCAGATCTTCACTATGTCCAAATTGTTCTACAGGTCTCCCATTCCTCTGATACGCACGTCTTTTTAGAAGTATGTGAAAGATCTGTAGAATTCAACTGGCTACCTTGAGGAAGGACCTAGGCTCCACAGCAGTGAGAGGGATGCTATGGGAAAAAGTGGCAAGTGAGTCCACGCCTTTCAAACGTGCTAGGGAGGGTGACTGCAGAGAGCGTTCTTACCTGAGCTTGCATCCTGTCCTTATGTTTCTACCAAACTGCACTGTGTGCCTGAGGAACTGTGAGCAACTTCCATCAGCCTGGCTCTGTAAAATGGTCATCTGACAGATGTCAAGAAGCACGTCAAGAAGCCAACAAAAGCATAATCAGACACCCCAGCTTGTACTTTGCATTCCTCCTACACCACACATTTCTCCTTAACCCTAGCGGAGGGCTGTGATTCAGTCCTGACTGAAAGGCCTGCCAAACGCTGCAATTGTAATACTGAAGTACAATCTCAAAAGTCCAGACAGTACAGTATCAGAAGTCAATAAACCCAGTGACAAGGAAAACGTGAAAGCAGAAAGGATACATGCTGCCTGGCACCACTGTTTGCAATCAACAGCGGTGCTCCAGTGATGTAGCCAGGGTTTCCACTTCGAGGCAAGGTGCGAGAAAGAGTCCTGGTCTACAAAGAGGCAAAAGGGAGAACCAAGGCAGGAGAGAATGTTACAAGGAAAGAGGAAAACATTACCAGTCAGATCCATTCATCCCTTAAGAAACAAACTCACATTCTCAGACAATATAAACGTAACTCATTTTTGGAACAACTGGACTTTATGCACTACTAAAACCTCCATTATTTGTTTCCAAATCCTCCTTACTTGGCAAGTTCATCTCCAGTCCAGGAGCTAGCAAACTAAATGTCACTGCCCTGAAACGTGGGCACTACCAGGACAATTCTTGAGACATCAAATTCATACTGCTCAGCATTTCTCCCGAAGGAAGCGAACATGTCAGTCTGGGCAGCTCCACAGTCAGGGCGATGATCTGCAGAACAAACCCTGCCTTGACCCTGACTCTGAATGGCAGATTCCACCTCTACGTTGTTTTATGAGGAGAACCTCTGGGTATAACTTCAGCAGGGTTCCACAGTCCAGTTAGCAGTCCCTGAGGTCACCCTTTACCCCACGTTACATTGCACCTATGGGAGAAGGTTGGTATGAACTTCAATGTACCATAGTATTTCCCAGATTTCCACCCCTTACCAAGTAATTCCTATTCACGCTACAAGGGCAAGGCTAATAAATATCTGGAATTACTATAGCAAATTTGTTCACAAACACTGAACATCTCGGATACAGCGCTAGCCAGCTCCAACCCTGTCCTTCACAAGACCATGCCGGTGACCCTGATCTCATCCTCCCCACTCCACCCCCCCACAAAAAAACAGGGCAGAACAGAATAGCCAATTGCAAATTGCACAAGAGACAAGCTTGCAATAAGCCTGAATCTTTCTACTTACATGGTTTACCTGAGATCAGAACAGCGCTCCCTCTTCCTTCCACTGCCAGCCCTGTTTTCCAGGGAGCTGGTACTGTCATGACACTGCCCTAATCTTTATTATTACAGGCTTGGTAAGGGCTCAAGGAATATGGGGGCACTGACCCAGAAGCGCAAAGTGAAATGCTGCTGCAGAGAAGATCCTGAGTTCCCAGTGATGTTGGTGACTTTGAACTGGACAGACACACTTTGAATCCCATGGGTGCTGTTGAATTCTATCTCATAGATCACCTGAAAGTCCAAAACAAAGGGGAATCAGAGAGGTGGTGGAGTCTCCTTCGCTGGAGATATTCAAAAGCCGTCTGGATGTGATCCTGGGCAATATGCTCTAGGTGACCCTGCTTGAGCAGGGAGGTTGGACTAGATGATCTCCAGAGGTCCCTTCCAACCTAAACGATTCTGTGATTCTGTGAATCGGAGACAGAGTCAAGTAATGGGGCAATGGCCTTAAACTAGAGCTGAGCTGCCCTAAAGAAAGAAGATTCAGATACCTCAGAAACAACGTTGGTACATGTGTTGTCTTTCATGTGGGGAGCTCCAGGGGGTGTGACTGGGGTGATCTTTACCTGGAGGTGGTAAAGCATACTAAAAGTTAGCAATTGCTTAAAAGGAGCGTGTCTTTCTTGCTCTTTTCCATTGCTTTTCCATCCAAATCAGATTTCACCTTCCTGTTGTAGCTGTGATCTGGGGACATACGTGCCAGATTCCCATTTTTTTCTGAAAGAGCACAACCTGCCCATCTGACTCCAACCCTATCCATGCCCTTCATTTTAAAACACATCTTGCCTTATATCCCTAGGGTTTTTTCTAAAAACAATGCCACACTTTCTTTCAAAAAATCTTGCTTCAGACACAGATCATTCTCATTCTCCCAAGTTCCCAACCCATGGACCTTACTATGAATACATAAGAGTCCAGATACACTTTATTTCAGAAACAGAGATTATTTCCATTGGCAAAAGTAACTGACCTGCATGGACTGCATAATGGCGTCATTAATTGGAACCTGGGGAAAACAAACAACCAACAGATTTTCTGGGTTTGCACGTGCTCAAAGTCATAAGGCTATCACTAAGCAGAGCCTAGATACTATGTTGATAACAATGACTCAGTTGATTACAAGTTCCATACGTTTGGAATATATTTGTGATCTAGAATTCACAAACATGCTTCAGAGAAAGCCCTTCTAGAACTAGAGAAGACAACTTTTATTCCTGGCCCTGCTAATGACCTGCTGTATGCAGATACTTTGAAATATCAGCATCTGTGGTCCACTCCCGCAGCTCCCCCTTCTGGGATCAACTCATTTCTTCAGCTTCCGTTTAAGAAAAAGTAAGGTTTTTGCTTCAGTGGCAAAGCAAGCCCCGAAAACATGAGTTAAATTCCATCACTGCAATACTCCCTACTACATTTCCGTGGCTATAGAAAAATACCTGTTAAATTAAAGTACCTGTTAAATGCATTAAGAACTTGTTAATAACTGAAATTTATTGGAAAGTAGTTTGCAGTGCAGGATTATCACTGAGCAGGGACATTTCTAACAGGATTGCTGGTAAGAAGGCCATAATAATCAGGAGATCGGGGCACTTCATACCAGATCACCTTTAGTTTACCAATTAGCTGAAGCTGCAATGGAAGGCAATGGAAAAATCAAGCAAATGAGATGTTGACCAAAAGCAAAAAAATGACATACACCTTTAGCACTGTGAAGTCACGGTAATAAGAGGCAGCATCCAGGGCAGGGTCAGTGATGCAGCTCTTGCTCAAGTTGGCAAAAAACCGAGTACAGCTTGTGCTTTTACTGTCCAGGAAACCTGAGTTAAAAGATGACAACAGACATGAGAAAACAGACGCAAACCACCCTAAGAAATGCTTTCTTCTTTACTAACCAGCAGGATTTCCATCAACACAAAGTCCACTGGCTCCCATCCTTACTGGCTGTCTAAGAGTGCTCAGTACAGATGACGAATCAAAGTAGGTTAGGATTGGATCACCAGCCTGAAAACATAATTTGGAGAAATTACAGACAAAGTGACTCTGGAAAACTAAGGCCAAATGCAAGGTGAGGCATCGGGGCAGAGAGACAAATTTATACATCTCCTTTGTATAGAGCCACTTTTGTCTCGAGCATTGTCCAAAGTTTAAAATACAACACAACTAATCAGAAACTCTCTTTGTGCAGCAAGGAAGGGAAAGAACAGAGCAACAATACGGACTATAGGGTAGAAAATTTATACACGAAGAATCTTTCAATCTGCGCTCATGAGGCTTCATTACAAATAGCTGTAGCAAAGGTGTATTTTCAAACCGGTTGCTATGGTTTTTCAACTCACCCGGTAAAAGGCAGAGAAGGATGGCTGGGCTTGTGCTGGTGTTAAGAATGAGTGTCTGCCATACTTTTCTGAAAACTTCAAAAAGTCAGATTCTTTGATATGCTGTGGCTGTTGGAAATAGTTCAGGTTTGCTAGAGTTGAAATGAGAAAAAAATATCCACCAACATCAATTTGTTAGAAAAGATATATCTAAGAAAAAGTAAGCATTGTGCCAATGTTTTTTAAAGGGACAACTTTGGCAATTATAAGCTCTGTAGTGCCTTATGTTAAGTAATCTTTAGTAAAGCGGCTAAAAGACTAATATGAGCTATAAACAGGATGCTCTCGGGAGGACTAGTCTATAGTGTTTCAAGGGAAACAGGTGTTAACAAACAGAGGACACCTTCTAAAAGCACTAAAACTGCTGAAGGCACCTATCTTAACGTATGCTCTAATTTCTGTAAGACGCTTGAGTTAGACTCCTATGACATTTTAATGACAAAACATTACTAATATGTGAATTCAGTAAAAGCAACATTAAATGGATTCAAAATACTTAGGGTTGATAAACCTTAAAGTTAGCATGAATAGAGAACAGGCATACTAACAAGACAGGCTTTCTGTTGGTATCCCACAGTGACCTCTTCCTGCTCGCTCTAGTGGTATTTAATATTGTTATTAATGTTAAAAGCTATTAAGTTATTACTGCTAAAACAAAAAGTCATAAAATGGCAGATGATTAAGGACATACTATATAGACTCATCCTGATGAACTCCTTTGAACAATAAGCATTTTAATATGTCCAAATGCAAAGTCTTACATCTACATTCAAGGGTTACAGGTCATACTGTCCTTCAATTATCAAAGCCTAATACTTGATAATGCAGACCAACAATACTGTAAGTAAAAACAACTTTTTCAAACACTTCCATAATGCAAAATATACTTGAGAACTGGATGAAAAAGCCAGCAAAACTTATGATACTCAAACTGCTTAACTTTTAAGAGAAAAGACTGAAATATGACCTTCTCATAGTGTAAAGTTGGCTCAAGAAAGCACACTAGCTAGGCTAGTGCAAGGCTATTTAAGTTAGTCGAAAAAGGAAAAAAAGAATTGACAGCTGGTGCTGAAATCAAGCAAACATAAAAAAGAAAAAATAAACAAGGAAAACAAGAAAAAAAAGGTCAGGCTAGTGGATAATGGTTCCTGTGGCTTTAAAATGCACTCATATTAGTTCCTCCGCTGATGTGGAAGCAGAAGTAGCAGCAATATTCTCCTAAGACCTGTAAAGAGCTTACATATACTTATGAAACAGAAATACCTTTAAAAGTACTGTATGTATTCTGAAAATATCCAATATTTCCAGCTGTCCCTGGGAAATGATTCTCTTCTCTCGGTGAACTGTCAGTTGAATCAGCAGGACAGCCTGATTCAACCAGACAGCAGTTCACTCCCTCCCTGTCCCTGCTAAGGATGTACTGAGCAGTCGAACTGTCCCTTTTGGAGTCAGTACAGCATCTAAAAGCATCTTAATGTGAAGATAACGTGACAAATGTGAAACTCCACCCTTAGCGTAAGGCTATGAAAAGGCAATACTGGCCTTTTCCAAAAATGGCAAAATGAAGAAATTGGCCACAGATGGCACAAAGGAAGGAGAACACTCGCTGCAATGAGCTAGCAAGGTTGGAGGAACAACAGAGTTGTGAATAACTGCCAGACAGAGAACAACAGCATGTTAAAGCAGAAAAATAAAGCCAATGAAGGATGGTAATATCCAGAAAACAGGCAAGGAAGATGACTGAATGAAGCAAAGGATGTTTTACACTTCAGTTTTACACTTCCAAGACAGCTGAAGTAGAGTGCTGTCATCAAGAGAGAATGAGGACAGTCATGGAGAGAGCCATCAGTGGCAAGCAGAAAAAGAAAAGATTTCATCTTAGAAGTATCAAAGAGGAATTACTAAGACTTGAACGTTATTACCCTGGTATCTGCTAGCAATGGTTTCAATGAGATGCAGTCAATTTGTGCACCATCATCTATTTGTTATCCACTAAGATAACTAGTGATCCTAACCAGAAAACCATTGTACGTTACATCAAGGAATTAGTGATCTACATGACAGTTAACCTGGGCAGGTGCAGGCCTGTACTGTATCGTGCTATGCTGCGTGTATGGCTTGGCCTTCAGGCCTGTGTTGTGCTGCATATATCCCTTGGCCGCAGGATAAACTTAGCTGGCTAATTGTAACGAAGAAGGCAACTGAAGGCAGTTCCCACTTGGCACTGGTGATTACACCACCTGCATGTCCTTGTCTTTATAAAAAGACACAGCAGTAAGTTCTCATGTGAACCTCTTCTTTGCTTGACAGTAGAAATGATGAACAGAATAGTTTTCTTTTAAGGAAAATCCTATGAGAGCTCGAAAGACCAAAGTGTTGGGCAGTCTTTCTGTGGACAGGATCTACTTGGTGTAGATCATCTACTTGCTGCATCCTGATCAGAGGGCCATTCGATGATGCACAGCTTTGGGTTTCCAGCATCTGAAGGGATGTAAGATTATGTGTACTGATCTTCTTTTTCCTTATAGTGTTAACTCCAATAAATGGCATCTTAAGTGATGCTTTACGGAGACTGAGCACCTTCCTTATTGGCATCACAATGAACCAGCACCTCTTGGTGCAAAACAACAATTCATTAGTTTCAGAGACTGGTCCCACTTGCCCTCCTCTGGGAGGTCTCTGGAGCAAGCTTGATTACACTTCTGGCAGTGGCAGCCCCTGTCACCATCCATGCTGGAAAGGCTTCTCCCGCAGTCAATTGATGGGAGCATAACTGTCTGTATGCTTCCTTGGGGGAGGACTAAAGGGGAGCAGGCTGCTTCTAGCAGAAAAA